CCCAGCCCAGCTGCCCTCCCACTCACCAATTCTGAGTCTGAAACCAAAATACTTGAAATTCATAGAGAAGTTGATGGTCTCACCTCTTGCCAGTGCTGCAGGGAGGACAGAGCAGCATTAGGGAGCTCCCTGTGACCCACATCTCCCCCTCCCACCAGCACCAGAACTGCCCTCCCAAAAGCACTCAGGGAGCAGAGCGGGGAGTGAGGGTTGGGGTGCAGGGATGGGGACACCCGTGGGTGACAGGAGAGGAACAGTGTGCAGAGCTGCAGCAGTGGGGCAGGCAGAATTCCAGGCAGCAGCCAGAGCTGCCCCTTTCTTCTCAGCAGCACAACCAGCAAAGCTGAGCACTGTTCGTGCCAGACTCTCACCTACAAGTGCAGGTCTAATGAGGATTCCAACGAGGAATGCAGCGGCAAGTAGAAGAAAGTCTAAGAAGGAAAATGGCAGATGAGCAGGAGTTGGGCACTAAAGCTCCTCCAGGCTGGAGCCCGGGTCCCTGTGCCAGGCAGGGCAGGGCAGGGCAGGGTCCCTCTGGCAGCAGCAGCTCCCCCAGCACCGCCCTCCTTCAGCCCTGGAGACACCCGGGAGGAGAGGGCAGAAGGGGCGAACCCCAGGCTCCCTGTGCTCCCCACATTGTCCCACTGCAGGTCCCGTGTCCCAGACCCCTCGAGCCACCCAACTTACCCATGGTGGGCTGGGCAGGAGCAGGGGCTGCACTGGGTCCTCTGTGAGCCTGGGCCTTCGAGAAGCAAGAACAAGACGTATTTCCGTGAGCTGGGTGGGGCTGGCCGGGCTTTGGTGCCCTGTACAATCGTGCTCATCCACGCCCATCCCACCCAGGAGCCCCCAGTTCCCCACACAAGCACAGAACCCGCAGACACTGCCCAGGCTCCTGCCCAGCCCAGGGCATGGTGGTTGCTCCAGTGATACAGCGAGATGAGCAGCCCCCATTATTGCCCCCCAGAGAAAAGATGCTGTCCCCAAACACCCACTGTGGGACCACAGCACCAACCTGTCCTGTGTGTACTGTGCTCTGAGGGTCAAAGTGCCACAGGAAAGATCCCAACAGGTAATGTCACGACAGGTAATTTCTGAGAAATTGCTCAATCACCGAGTTTCAGTTTCATTCTCATCAAGTCTTGGTGTTGCTGTCTCTGCTGGAGCAGGGCTGGGGTTCCCCCTTCTCCAGGACATGGGACCTTGGGGTTGTCCCTGCAGGGATCCTGTGCCACAATGCAGACCAAGCACCACCACACACACCCACAACATCAATGCACTTTTATTAACGCTTTCTAAATTATTTATTGCTCAAGGCCATCCAAAACATTTGAAGGGGCAGCTGCAGTTCTATGGGGGTTTTCTTGTTCCGGCAGTTGGAAGATGCAAATCAGGCTTCTTGGAAGGAAGGAAATCTGCTTCTGTTCATTTGCCATGGTATTCAGGAGTTCTAATTCTGGTCAGCAAGGCATCAGCTGCTGCTTGGAGGCTTGGGCATTTCTTTCCCCCCTATAAAGACAGGACTGTCATGGCCCAGAAGCATTGAGGCTACCTGCTGATGGACAATCATGAGGCAGGGGCGGCCAAAACTGTCTCTCCAGTAAGGGTCTCCTCATTCTGCACCAGAGAGTTGGCACCAGAGAGTGAGCTCTGCTCCCTGAGCACATCCAGCCTCTTTCTGCTCTCCATTCCCACCTCTGACCAGTGCTGCCAGTGGACACAGGGGCTGTTGCCACAGAGCAGTCACCTCCCTGCACAGCCCCTGATGCCCTCAGCCCTGACTCCTACCCCAGCAGGTCCTGGCTCTTCCCCCATATTGGGATTGATCCCTTTGCCAGATTTCAGCTGGGTTCAGACCAGTGATGGGTTCAAGGGCTGCTTTGGCTTCAGAGTAAGCCCAGGGTACAACCCCGTGTTCCCACCCAGCACAGCCCAGCTGCCCTCCCCACTCACCAATGTGAAAATTTGCTTCCTTGGTATGCACAGTCACCTGCACAGACTTCTTTGCCAATGCTGCAGGGAGGACAGAGCAGCGTTAGGGAGCTCCCTGTGACCCACATCTCCCCCTGCCACCAGCACCAGAACCGCCCTCCAAAAGCACCCAGGGACCAGAGTGGGGAGTGAGGGCTGGGGGTGCAGGGATGGGGACACCCATGGGTGACAGGAGAGGAACAGTGTGCAGGGCTGCAGCAGTGGGGCAGGCAGAATTCCAGGCAGTGGTCGGAGCTGCCCCTTTCTTCTCAGCAGCACCAACAGAAGCGAAGCTGGGCACTGCTCATCTCAGGCCAACGTCTCACCTATAAGCAGAAGTCCCATGGCGAATCCCAGAAGGAATGCCGTGGCCCATGAATCAGAGACTAAGGAGGAAAATGGCAGATGAGCAGGAGTTGGGCACTAAAGCTCCTCCAGGCTGGAGCCCGGGTCCCTGTGCCGGGCAGGGCAGGGCAGGGCAGGGTCCCTCTGGCAGCAGCAGCTCTCCCAGCACCGCCCTCCTTCAGCTCTTCAGACTCCCGGGAGGAGAGGGGAGAAGGGGCGAACCCCAGGCTCCCTGTTCCCCCACATCTGTCCCACTGCAGGATTCCTGTCCCCCGCCCCACAAGCCACCCAACTTACCCATGGTCATGGGAGCAAGAGCTGTGATGAGTTGGCTCTAATCCTGGCCCCTTGGGAAGCAAGAACAAGATGTTTTTCCACGGGCAGCTGGTGGGGTCAGCGGGGCTTTGTTGCCACCTTGCATCATCACGCCAAACCAGCCCGCTCCCACCCAGGTGACCCTGGCCACGCCATAAAAGCAGAGACCCCTCAGTCCCCACCCAAGTTCCTGCCCGGCCCACAGCTACATCTGCTCTGCTGGTGTGTAAACAAAGGAGGCACAGACTCAGACCTGCAGGGATACTGTGATATTTTATGGGAGAAAGAAGCTGGTTTTATACCCTTCTTCAAGGTCCATTATTTCCTTGTATGTATTTTTTCACTAAGTGACCTATCATACGTTGCCACATCAGCAACATTCTTAACACTTTCTTAACGTCCTGCTGTGGGGTGATCTCGTGCTGTTCAGGTGTCTGGAAGATTCCGGCAGGCTCCTCTCCTTAGGGCGTTCACCAAGTGGCATTTCTTCCCAAGGTCAGCAGAGACAAGCTTCTCCATGCTGCCATGGCATTCTGCGGGCACATCCCGCAGCCTGTAAGTCAATTCTGTCTTATCTCCCTCTCTCCATTAGTGCAGTGAGGTGAGCAGCCCCCTGTTATTGCCCCCCCTGCACAAAGATGCTGTCCCCAAACATCCACCGTGGGGCCACAGCACCCGACAGCACCAACCTGTCCTGTGTGTACTGTGCTCTGAGGGTCAAAGTGCCGCAGGAAAGATCCCAACAGGTAATGTCACGACAGGTAATTTCTGAGAAATTGCTCAATCACCGAGTTTCAGTTTCATTCTCATCAAGTCTTGGTGTTGCTGTCTCTGCTGGAGCAGGGCTGGGGCTCCCCCTTCTCCAGGACATGGGACCTTGGGGCTGTCCCTGCAGGGATCCTGTGGCTTCCCACTGTGGGGAACTGTGAGGAATCCTTTTAGAAATAGATGGTCTGGAACAAAATTAAGTCAACCGAGACAGCATTGTACCTGAGAACAGTTTATTGATAACAAAAAAACAAACTAAAAAATAAGTTACCCTACTATAAAGTGCTAGAAAAGACAGAAAAGCAGGAAGGAAAATGGAAAAGGAGTGGGGGGAGAGAGAAAGAGAGGAAGCCAGAGAGTAACAGCGCCGTGGATGCTCACAGCACGCAGGATGTGCAGCGGTGACGGGCGGCCGGACACGCGGGGAGGGTCTGGAGTGGGGCTGCAGCAGGAGGAGCAGGAGCCGGGCACGGGAGCAGCCGGGATTGGGCGGCACTGTGAACGGGCCGGAGGAGGGCAGGGACAGAAGCAAGTGTGTCACCCTGATTCTTAAGTTTTTCTAATGCCTTCTGAGTTTACAATCTGGTAGAGAACTTTCTCACGCGAGTTTCTGTAAACAGGGTATTGTTTTGCGCTCCTTCATAGAGGCGGAGAAATTTGATGGACTGGGAGTTTGTCCAGTGTCGTTGGACAGGTGGCACGTTCACCCTCCAACCCGTTCACCCTCCAATCCACTGTCAGCTTTGGAAAAGTATAAATGCTGGAGTCAGATAATAAACTTCCTATTTTTACCTTTGCAATAGCAGCGGCTCACGTCGTGTTTTCACGTGTCGCACAGTGCCACGGTGGCTCAGGCAGGGATACAGGGAGACGGGACGGCAGGGTGAGTGAGAACCCTCCAGGAAAGAAGAGGCAAAAGGCAGGCTGGAGCCAGGGCAAAAAGGACAAAAAAGCAGCCTAGGGCCAGGGCAAAGAAGCACAGAAGTTCAGCAGGCTGCAGCCAAAGCAAAAATGCAAGACTGATTGGTCCTCAAACTCAAAAAGCCCTAGATTCACCAAGCCACAAAGAAAAAGCAGAAGAAAGCCACTCATTCAGCAACAGCAGGTCTCCAAAGCCCCAGAGCTTGTGGTGCAAGCCACGCTCCCCCCAGGATGCTCTGCCAGCACCCCAGGAGCTCCCCCATGGCTGGTCCCCAGGGATC